TTAGTATAACTTTTTAAAACTAATTCAATCAACAGTCAATTAAAATAATAACAAAACTCATCAATCAATGTAAAAAAATCTGTCAAAACCCCTCATTTCCAGATGTGTGAAAAAATGCCGACGGCTTTTTTATCATTCAAATTTTGGAAAAAATGGTCAAAACAACAAAAAAATCTAAATAAACATGACTGCTTACACTGTGCGAGTCGTTTAAGGCCCTAATAGTGGTAAAGATTACTTACTTAATTTATGTTTGGTACACTAAGTACACGCATTTATCTCATATTTTTGTTGCTTTTTTTTATAATACCTGTTGTCTTACTCTCTGAACAAACCTTTGACCAACTCTCTAAACTTCTTTCTTGTCTGGCGGCCTGTCTCTCTATGTTTAAACTACAATTGGTTAAATAAATATAATAAACAGGCCCACAGTGATGGACTGAGTAAGTGAGTGTATGACAAGCCATGTAAGAAAAAACAACAACAACTTAAAGTCAATATTAAAGTAGTAAATCTGAGGCTGTGGCTACTGTTTGAGACTTACTACATATTCCAGCAGCAGTTTTGAAACTGCTACTGCTATGATCGTTGTCCCGGCTAATACTGTTTGTTGATTTTTCTGTCTAGTTTTTCTTTTTGTTGTTGTAGCTAAAGTGTTGCTACGTTGTTTTTTGGGGTGTTTTGTTGAGCGGAACTGTTAAACAGTGTCGGCCAGAAACAGTAAAGTCAATAATATTAAGAAAAATCCATCCATACAAACGATTTAAGTGTATTTGTTTTGTCTGCTACACCGATATTTATTTATATGTATGTAGTATGTATGAAGGTAGAATTTTTATATTTGTTATTGCATTAACATTTACAACAACTATACAAATAAAGAACTATAAAAACCCAACAAAAATAAACTATAGAATGGATCATCAATTCATCCAACCAACCAAGCAACCAATCATCCATTCATCCATATGTAATGTATATTGATCATGTATATTGAGCATCGATGAAATATTTTACTTTTCTTTTACCCTTTTTGAAAGCAGTGCTAAAGAATTTATATGGTTTATAACTGCTACTGATGAAACTACGTTGAGGGTCCTGGTAAATATAACATAAAATCTTCTTTTATGATTGCTACTGTGTTTATTTTTCCTATTATTAACTTCTTAACAATTTATATATGGTTTTATGGGGGTTTTTTTAAGTTTCCAAACCTCGTGGTTGTATAAAAATATGAGAGGAGTTTTGGAAAATTTCAAAATTAGAACTGAAACTGGTATAGTTCTATATTAGAAATTGAGAATTGCAGGGATTTTCAACAATAATAACTTGATTTACAGAATATATATGTATATGAAATGTCATTATATTAATGAAATGTTTCATATATTTAATGAATAACATTTGATGAACGAGTTACACTAGCTAAAGAAAAAAAGAATCTTCTTTTAGAATAGATAACTTAAAAACGGGACTGCCCCAATAGACTAGTTGGTAGAAAACTAGTTTAAGAGTCTGGGGACTTTGGTTTGTATAGGTAAAAAAATGGACCAATTTTAACCATTTTCAATAGCGTGCGTAGCGTGCGCATAAGGACAAACAAACGGATGAACGAACAAAGCTTAATCGACTCAGAAAGTGATCCTGAAGCGATTGAGGTGCGTGTGTTAACAATATTTTCGGGTGTTACAAAGATCAGCATAAACGCATAGCGGTGTAGGGTAATAATAGATATTTAAAACTAAATCATAACCCAGTCTCGTCATTCAAAAAATACTTAATTATTGTCATTTTAAATGTATAAAAAACAGTAGTGCAGTGTAAACAGTTTAAAAGCCATTTAATAATAAGTATTTTCTACCTTTTTTTGCTTCAAGAAACACAATTTAAGTTCAGGTTTATTTACAAAATTATTGTCTACAGAAGTCAAAACTATGTGCAAATATTTGTTTTTAAATTTTAAAATCTTTTAAATCTTTAAGAAATCATTCAATAAATAAAGTCACCGACAACAGCAGCTACGGTTGACAAATTTTAAGTCCTTTTTATGCTTTAAATTTGTGTGCTGTCGTTACTTAAGGAATATGATCCTTTTTCTAATCATATTTATTTAAGAGTTTTACTAAATTGAATTATTTGTTAAAGGGATTTTGTGTGTGTTTTTTGGTACAAATCGGTAGCTATACAACAATTTGTTTTAAAAATGCACCTTTATTTGCTAAATACTAATTTCTAAACTAATGAGTTTTATTAAGAGATTTAAAAGTTTGTGTATTTTGTAATAGAATATTTAATAAAAAATTTAAGAATTTCTAAGAAAATTTGTTTAATCATGAAATGAAATATATTTTTTCACTATTCATGGACAATTTAAAAAGTTCAAAGTTCAATTTTTGTTTAAATCATAAGTGAAAATGGACTAATTTGACAAAACTTATAAAAAATCTTAAACAAAATCAAAGATCATAGTGATAGATTTGTCCGGGGAGCAATAATTCTAGATTTAATATTAGTTATTAAATCGTTAGAATATATGTAATAAAAAAATCCACAATTTTATATGTTCTTTAAAAAAATTATTTCTTTTTTAAATTCCTCATATTTATTATTGTAAAAACCACAAATAATTGTAATTTATGTGATTTTGTTTTTTTTTTTTTTTTCTTATCAACATAAAATAATTGTATGTGTAAATTCAAAACAAAACATAGACCCCATTGTCTTCTTTTACCCACTAGTCGTAGTAGAGAGATTTAAAAATACATTAATCTTAAATAATGATCAATACTAAATGACAAACACGATCGATTTAAAAAAGCGAAACAGCAAAAACATTCAAATGAACATGAAAATATTTAAAATATTTATTTTTAAACAAATAATGAGACAAATTTATTAACATTTTAGATCAAAAAAGTCAAATACATAAAGAAAAACCAAGTGATAAACATGATGATATTTTTGTTTGGGGTTTTTCTTAATTTTTTTTACGCACATTCAGAGGGTGTGTCGTTGGGAAGTGTTATTGTGAAAATATTGGAATATATATTCTAACCCTGTCAATAGAATGGGGTTAGTCAATATATTAGTTTGTAGATTAGTCATTTGCTTAGTGTATAGTGTAGTTAAAAGAGTAGTCTACAATCTAGTTAATATACTATTCTACATTCCAGTCAATAGACTTGTATATAGTCTAGTCTATAGACTAGTCAATAGACTATAATATAGTCTAGTCAATAGACTAGTCTTCAGGCTAATCAATACACCAGTCTAAGTGTTATTGTGAAAATGTCGGAGTATAACTAACCCTGTCAATAGAATAGTGTTAGTCAATAGATTAGTTTCTAGATTAGTCATTTGATTAGTTTATAGTGTAGTTAATAGAGTAGTCTATAATCCAGTCAATAGACTAGTATATAGTCTAGTTTAAAGACTAGCCAATAGACCAGTATATAGTCTAGTTAATATACTATGATATAGTCTAGTCAATAGACTAGTATATAGTCTAGTCTTTATTATAGTCAATAGACTAGTCTATGTACTAGTCAATAGACTTGTCTATAGTCTAATCAATAGACTATATTCTAGTCAATAGATTAGTCCATAGTCTAGTCAATAGACTAGTCTATAGTCTAGTCAATAGACTAGTCTATAGTCTAGACAATAGACTAGTCTATAGTCTATGCAATAGACTAGTCAATAGTCAAGTCAATAGACTAATCTATAGTCTAGTCAATAGACTAGTCTATAGTCTAGTCAATAGACTAGTCTATAGTCTAGTCAACAATCTAGTTTCTAATCAAAAGACTAGTTTATAGTTTCGTCAATATACTCATCTGTAGTCTAGTCAATATCGATAGACTAGTCTAATCAATAAATTAGTCTATGGTCTAGACTGGTCTATAGACTAGTTAATAGACTAGCCTAGTCTAGTCCATAGTCTAGTCAATAGAAGGGTCTATGGTATAGTCAATAGAACAGTCTAAAGTATAGTGAAAATACTAGTTCATGGTCTAGTCAATTGACTAGACTATATACTAGTATATTAACTAGATTATAGACTTGTATATTAACAAGACTATAGTCTTGCCTATTGATTAGACTATAATCTAGTGACAAAACTGTGGTCAAAACTATCAACTAGTATATTGAATATATTAAATTATATATTAACCTTCCCTTTTTGAAACACCCTTTACAATGAAATTCAACTTGTTCATAAACAACAATGTTGTGATGTGTTTTTGTTCACACAATACAATGAACAAATTGGAACTATCACTAAAATATGTTTTCAGTTTTTCTTTTCGTTTAACCAGACAAATTTTGAAAATTTTATAATGAGAACTTTTCAGAACAGCCAACAAAACATCTTCACTTCTGTGTGGTTTTTATCAGGAAAGGGATACACTTACATATAATGTTTTTCATACAACATCACAAATTCACAAATAATTAACGATCTAAAGATTACAAATGTCAAATACAGTGTCAACTTGAATTTTTTATAACATTTATTATTATTTTTTTTTTTTTTTGTTTTTCACAAAAAGGGCGTGTTGCTTGAATGAGAAGAGAAGAAATTTGTGGTAGATCTGTATGTTGAACTGTCACTGTTAAATATTTTCGAAGTTGTTTAGATTTGTTGTGACAGTTAGGTATTTGTATAATTTTGTTTATTTTTCTATAAGTTTTGAAAACCACCAGGCCGGTTATATAGAATAGGAGAAAATGAAAAAAAAGCACGATCATTTGAATATATTGCAGGATCATAAATTTCCATTTGAGTTCAAGAGCTTCTTTCATATAAAATAAGAAATTTGGAAATGTACTCTCTCGAAGGATATAGTTATTTAATTAATTCCCGAGCTAGTGAACGAGCGCAATAGGAAAAAATAATACAAATCTCGAATCGAGGTTCTCGATCCCTTATTCTAAACTTTATGACAAAACAGCTATGTATTTCGGAGATTTTTTAATAGAAATTAATAAGATTGTCATAAAATTCAGAATATAGTGGTTTCACATAATTTATTGAAAATGTCAGTTTTTTTGTTAAAAAATAAAATTTCGTTAAATAACGAAAATATTAAAAATTTATTCGGTTTTTTCAGTGGCTGTTGTTGTTGTTGTTACATCCTCTTGGACTTTTTTACTTTCTGTATCTGCTTCTGATTTTTTCGCTTCATCTGAAGTTTTATCTTTATCATCTTCTTTTTTGGCTGGAATTTTTTCAGTTGTCGTCACATCATCTGATTTTTCATCTTCTTTAGGGGGTATTACTTTTTTGGTAGCATCTGCAGCACTTTGATTTGAACTTTCAGTTACGGTATCTGAAGTCTTAGTTACTGTAGCTGAAGCTGTTTTATTTGTGGCTACAGGTTTATCCGGTATCTTTTCCTTTGCTTGATCGCTTGATTTCATAGAACCGGTATTGGATTCCTTCTTATTTTCTTCTTTATCGTTGGTTAATGGCAGATGAATGTGTCCTTCTTGAGTAATTTGATTGTAAATAATACTGCAAACTCGACAATTATCTGAAATTTTCCAAAATATCAGCAAAGCCAAAAATCAGCAAAGCTTTTATCATGTTTACCATTATTTCTCTTCTTAATATCGCCACTTCTATAATAATCCTCATAGCTCGAATCATAATCGGAATCAGAATCGGAAGAATCATAATCATCATCATAACCGAATAAGTCTGAGATAATATCGAACATGGTATCTAAACAGCGTTTCTTATATTATATATCAAATATTAGTATTTAATAATGTTTTATTTTTAATATTTTCTTACGTTTCTCTGTCCTTTTTCCTTATTTTTCATCACCAGGTTATCATCTTGTGAAATGATTTCAGGTGTGGGATTTGCAAAGATTTCCTTTTCATTGAGAATATAACACAAGTATAAACCGAATATTAATGTTTTAAACATTTTGACGTTTTCACCGATTTATAATCTAGAGCTGAACTAATGCAAAATCCACAATGAAAATAAGTTGAATTTTATTTCAAGCTTTTATACTCCCAAATCATGCAAGGAAATTGTAAATTTTGTAAAAAAAACAAAATTTAAATAAGACAGATTTTATGTAAATTCTTTTTTGCATTAGAATCAATTTAAACTTTTTGAAGTTGCACTACACAGTTTTGAAAGTGAGATATCGAAATATAGGCAACATATGGACAACACAGCAATTGAGACCGAGAGAGAAAGTTGTATTTAGTTGAAGCTTAAGTATGCTGCTCAACTATTTTATTTTAGAGCTGATCTCAACTGAGAGAGACAAACGAAAGCAAGAATGCCAGACAACTCATAATAGTGCTTGCTCTCGTTTGCCTAACTCTAATTTACAGCTTTAAAAATTCGTAGTTCACTCTATATATTATTGCTACCTGAACTTGCATTAGAATTTATGCAATGACACGTTTTAAAATAATAATTTTAAATTTAGTCATTGCACTTAAGAAATCTATTTCAAAAAATATCATTAAAAATAAAACCACATAAAAGTCATTTAAAGTCGATATTTTTTTTTCAAATAAATTAACAAATTACTACTAAATTATGACTATGAATATATATTTTGTGCTATTTATGCATTTACAAAAAAAATATCGTTAAGATTTCCGGTAATAAATATGTGTTATAATTTCTTTATAACAATTACTGCAAAAAAAAAAACAATTCAGCAATAACAACACATTTACCCAATTTTAAAATTTCTTTGGATTATGCCATTGAAAGAAAACTAGAAAATTGCTTAGTATTTTTTTCTAATTTGCAAACTGAAACTGAACATCTGTGAGCAAAGTTTTTTTTCTAAACAAAACGAAAGTCTATTGATTCTTATTACATAAAGTACTTTTTATTTAAATTTTTTTTTGTTTAGATAATTTCAAAGGTATATTAGGGAGGTTCATGAGGTTGTGTTAAGATTCAAAATTTCTTATTTTTATTCAAGGATCAACTTTCAATATATTGGTCTTAGATCCATAAAAGTGTATATACTATATACTTTAGATTCCTGTTAGATTTTAGGACGATAATGTCTCTATGACGGACCGTCTGTTGGAATCACAATAGGGTCCAAACGGAGTGCTAGAGTGCTGAATTTGTCCACAAATACTTTGTGTTAATGTAGTTTATTCTATATTGAAACCCCTAACCCCCTTAAAAATGAGTCATAGAAGACAAAGATCGCCCAGGCAAGTAAAAAAGTGTGAAGGTCAAGAATTGATGGCATTACTCAATGAAGATTGATGTCACGCTTAACAAGAGCTTGCAAAATCAGTGGGAGCAACTCAAGCAGCAATATCAAAAGGTTTGCGAGCAGCAAGATTCAGGAAGATTGGGTATCATTCGAATTGAGGCCGATGGATCATGAAACACGAATTTGCATGACCGTAATGCAGCTTGAACGCTATAAAACCGACCAATTATCTGAATCGACATCAAAGCCAAAAATCCAGGAAGCTAAGTTAATGTTTTGTATTTGGTGGGTACAAAGAGGTCCTGCTGAAGTCTGTCTAAACATAGCCCAAATGCAACTAGTTTGAGCATAAAGAGTGCATTGGCCGAAAAATGTCCAAAATATGCAGCCAATTATGAAAACATAATAATCCAAAATAACAACTCTCTTGCAACATGTGGCAATATCTGTTAAAAACTATTTAGATAGAAGTAGCGTTTGTACTCTCCCACCTTCTTGTCCAGCCATTGTCCCCTACGACTACTATTTGTTTGATCGTTACAGAAAGCTCTCTCTTTCACTCTCTCTCTCTGGATACACTGCACTTTAGAACAGGATAATTGAAATTGGCTTGATTCCTGCAAAAATTACCGATTCTTTTCCAGGCATCCATAAAAAGCCCACTTCCAAACAGTATAATGAAGCATAAGTCTTATAATTTTCTTCTGGACTAAGGTTGAACTCAGATATTTCTGTTGTTGTTGTAATACCTAAAACTTAAAGCAGGATACTCGAAATTAGCATGAATCTTGCAAAAATTATTGGATCTCTTCCAGGCATCCATAAAAAGTCCTATTCCAGAAGTCATCAGTACAATGAAGCATAAGTCTAACAAATTACTTAAAAAGTCTCAGTCCTATATATGGACAGAGATTGAACTCAGAAATTTTTGTTGCTGTTGTAACACCTAAAACTATACTATGAGGGTCCATCAGACGTTGAGCCTGTTGCTCTCTATTTCAATTACGACATTCATGCTGTAGCCTGAAACCACGGTATTTATGGTATCTTAATGAATGTCATTCAAAGCTGCTGTATACAAAGTACGATCTAAAGGAATGTCCTTCCAGACATGCCTCGAGCAGCATCCAACTGTGAGATGTTAAAGTCGGAACGACTCATCGGGTTACATCCCTAAAGAAACTTTTTATTCAGCATGACATTATGTGTGTGATTGATTTGGGGGACTTTCGCAACCCGTTACAGCCACAGTCGGAATTTGGATTTTTGTTCTGACAACTTTGCTGATGATAATTCCAGTTTACTTCCCCGACTCCTAAATGTAGGTTATCTCCTTAGTCTAGGTGGTAAAAAGTGTTGCTGAAGACTTTGCTGGTAATCCAGATTACTTCCCGTAAAGAATTTGTGTATTTCTACTAGATAACCAATTCCTAAACAACCTTTGAACTTCCTTAATATTTGCTTTCAGTCTGAATCATTATTCATCTTTTAAAAACTACACATCTCGGTCTCTCTCGCTCTCTTTCCCACTACATTTAGAGTAACGACCTTAGTACATTCTTCTTCTAAGTTTTTTTTTCATATTCAAACTTTCATTCATAATTCTCGAAAAAAGTTTTAAACACGTTCGTTCATATTAGTTCTTTATATGTTTCAGTTGTGTGTGTGTTTTTTTTGTAGTCATTATTTTTTTATGATTACTTCAAAATGTAGTAAAATTTATGGACTTGCAGATTGTAAGCACAACGAGCTGTATGCCTCATAATCAATCCGAAAAAAAACACAATACAATTCAGTGGCAGCAGCAGGGCTACTGTAACTTCTACGATTTTTGTTTCAAAACAATTAGAAATGGGTTTACTTTACATTTATAATAGTACTTAATAAACATTTAGTGCCATAGATTTTCTTTCAATTCAAAACACACTTGTTGATAATAGGGCTCTAAGTTTTTTTTTTTTCATTCTCAACTATAATCATGTTTTTGTATCATATTACATGTGTTAAGAGTGCAATTTCCATGATCATAATGTAATATTGGGACAAAGAAATTTAAAAAAAAATAACTAAAATACACTTAAAGAAAATTAGTTTTGGAATTATTATTAAGTCTTCTTGGGAGTTTCGGTTTTATGCCAACATCATTATTACCAATATATGTATGTTTTTTACCATTAAAATCTTAACATCTAAAAAGCAAATACAAACACAAGCAATATCCGCAATTCTCGGAACTTTACCATTAAATTTTAATTGTGTGCTAATACGAGTGCAAATATGTATTTTCTCTTTATAGCAGAAGCACAAAAACACACAATAATAATTACTAAACATAATAATAACAAAAACATATTCCAAGAAAATTTTCCAGATATTAATCATATTTTCTTTTCTTTTAATTTTAGAGAATCAATGCCCTCAATATGGTGAAGTCAACCAATTGGGAGGCGTGTTTGTCAATGGTCGACCGTTACCGAATGCAACACGCATGCGCATTGTTGAGCTGGCCCGTTTCGGCATAAGGCCCTGTGATATCAGTCGTCAGCTAAGAGTGAGTCATGGCTGTGTTTCAAAAATTCTGGCCAGATATCATGAAACTGGTTCCATATTACCCGGCGCTATTGGAGGCTCCAAACCTCGTGTTACTACACCCAAGGTGGTGAACTATATAAGAGAGTTGAAGCAAAGAGATCCCGGTATATTTGCTTGGGAAATACGTGATCGTTTGTTGAGTGAAGGCATCTGTGATAAAACGAATGTACCCAGTGTCAGTTCAATATCGAGAATATTGCGCAATAAACTGGGTTCTATAACACATCATCATCATCACAGTGGTGGTGGTTCAGTGGTAACGGGAAATTCAGCAACAACGAATGCTTCACCTCAACACTCTCACACACATGCCGCTGCCCATCATGCTCATCATCATGCCCATCCACATCATCACGGTCATCATGCGTCTTCACATGCCGCGGTCACAGCAGTAGCAGCAGCAACGGCTCATCACACACATGCCGCAGCAGCGGTGGCGGCCCATGCTCATCATCCACACTTGTATTATCAACCCTACAGTGCCTACAATATGAAATCAGCTGTGTCTTGCGGTAGTCCCTCACCACCACAAACGGGATCAACACAAACACATCAAATGCGTTCGGCTGCCGCTGCAGCAGCAGCTGCCCATGGTTGGCCGTCCTCTCATACAGTTAGCGATATACTAGCTCATCATCAGGCAGTAGCTTTAAGGGCCAGTTGTCAAGTAGGTAATCCAGTAGGTGGTAGCATACCCTCAGGGCTTCCCCTGACACATTCACCCGTGGGTGCGGCCACTGGCACGGGTTCACAACAATTGCTGGACTGTGAAAGTGCTTCGAATACAGCAGCTTTGGCTCAACATCAAGTGGCCGCTACACAGGTAGCCGTTGCCGCCGCCGCTGCCTCTCAACAACCCTACAATTACTATATGTATTTTCAAAATGGTGGCATGCATCACCATCATCACGGCGGCATGATGGCTGCAGGAGCTACCGGCTTATGAGAACTACACTGCTTGTAAACTAATTCAAACCTACACTCATCACTCATGTAAAACAAAAATGATTCAAGTTAAACTGACAACAAGAAAAAGGTTTAAAACCTTAAAACAATCATTAAATATTGCAATTAATAAAAAGATACTCCTCCTTAAAAAAAACGTTAATCAAAAAGATAAAATTAAACAAAAAGAACCGTCGAGATTATTTTATTGCTACTTATTAAATACTACTAGTAATTAATTTTGAACAAAATTAAATGTTTACATAGTTTTAAAGTACTGCTTTTTACGTTTTCTTGTCTTGACTTCGTGGTCTTGTATTGATATCAAATATTTATAATTTTGAATTTTTCAATATTTATTAAATATTATAATTATAAATGATCTATCGTATAAGTATTCAGATTTTAGTCATTTTTTTATTATTATATAAATAATATTACAAACTTATTTACGTGTATACTTATGTAAATTAATTTTTATTATAATATATACATATTTTTTTCTTATCTTAAGTTGTATTTAAAATTTAGTTTAGAGTTTATTTTTTTTTTGTTCGGTTGTAGATATTTTGTTTTATTTTAAATAAAGATATACAGTACATATGTATTTTTTATATATTCCGATTTATTTAATTTAACAGATTGTATAAGCACTTTATATATGTTTTAAAGAATAGTTTTAGGTTGAAGAGGAGTATGCTATAAACATCGTATCATTAAGTTTTACACCTAGGCCTCCGGCAGCGGCCAGTTGTGCACTCATTTAAATGTAAATTTTTAATGATTCAAAAACTCAGTCTCATGGACGTAATTCCTTTTCAAATCCTTAGGGTCGTTATAGACTCTCGTTATTATTTCGTTTTACTCCACAATGTTTTTTTTGGTCTTTCCCACCGCACATTTGTCAGGTTACCTTCTTTAAGTTCCATGGCCATATAAACAGAGCTTACCACGGAGAAAAAAGTGGGTTATGACTTTTTTACAGTCTAATACCTTATTAGACTTAACCCTTTCGTCTGATAATGCCTTTATTGCCGTTCGGTTGCCGGGAAATATGTATGTTTACATCAGCCCATTTTACACATTCCGTAATAACACGGACTTGCATCTGGAAGCTAGTGTTGTGATCTGGAATATGATCATATATTTCGGTATATAGTATATCTATCTCCCCCCCCCCCTATAGAGCCGTTCATGTAGCAGCGAATTCCAACGGGTTATAACTCTAATATTTCATTTGGCAATGATTCTCTATTTGGCATCAACGTCTCACAATTTTTGTCAATTTCTGACTCTGGTATTCGATCAGGTACATTTGATGTTTGTTTATAATCCAATACGGTAACCTATGGTTAATTCGCTTAGAGTCGATCGGCGATTAGCGCTATTTTATATCTTACACGCATTTCAGTTGAAGGTATATCCATCAATTTTTCTAGAACCTTATACGACTGGTGCCCTTTTATACCAATATATAAGTACGCTGATGGTTCTATCCTTTATATGGTATCTCTATTATAACTTCAGGTCAAAGATTACACAAGAGAGGAAGTTACAAAGATATAACTCTCTCGGCCACCGGTATCTTCTTACCCGGAGAACAGGGTTCAAGGTATTGAGAAATTTTTGTCTTTCTTGTTTTCGATTGAGCCCACCCTAAGGCTATTGCAGAGACTCCTCGGCCTTCCTCGGAAAGGTTTAATTATATATGTTTTTATTAATATGAAATTACATTAATTTTATTTTCAAAATAATTTGTATCCTAATTTTCATAAAACTTTGGCTCCTCCAGCATTTCACTGATACTCATTTGCACTTCTTGTTGACTGTTATGAGGGATCATTTATATTATATTAGTATCCATAGCTTATTGTTTGAAATAATTGTGGTGACTTTTACGCTCAATATACCGAAATCCAGGCCAAAGTAATTTATGTTCTTGTCTTTATTTTCTCAGATGTGCGATTCATGAATTTATTGGAGTTAATCAAGAGTAGTTCATAGTTTTTATGGGTCCTATAAAGTCAATATAATTCTACGAATATTTGTTCGAAATTCTGAAATGTAGTATCAATAAGGCCAGGAGTGATAGTTCTAAAAAGTTTTTTACCTTATTGTATATGAATGTTACCAATTAGGCTGGAAACCGTTCCATAACTCTCACACATATTAGTAAAATAATTTTTACAAATTCTCACATAACTTGGATCTATCACGTGGTTTTCATAAATTATGGAATCTATGGTATATTCCGGTATTCAAGGATTTCCGATCCGAAAACACGGAATTTTGCTTATTTGCTTTAAATTTTGTAATTATTTTTTGGGTTTAAAGATTGGAGTATAAATGGCTATATTCCATTGTTCTTTTTTACTAAAACGCACTATATATAATATCTTAATTTTTTAAATATGATAACATTATCGCTTGTAATTACTGCGTTTGGAGAAATGATTATTCATTGGGGAATGTCCATAAATTATAAAAAAAAATATTTCAATTTAAAAAATACATAAGTACTGATAAATTTCGCCACAAAAAGTACACAAATATTTTTCCGACCACTAGACAAAGGAACTAAGACCCATTTTGTGTTTGATGAAATAATTGAAATTTAAAATCTGTTAAATGCGTTTGCGAATTGATGAATAAAAAAATATTTTAAAACTTGAACTTTTCCGATTAGTTAAATATAGTTACGAAATTGCATTTCAATTTAAACATTGCGGTTCATGAGTCATCGTGTTTATCAAAATGTTATTAGCTGGAAACAAATTTCACTTTCCTCTATATACATATACATGTATATGTAAATGTATTTATGAATGATTTGGATATATGTATACAAAATGTCATAATAAGTAGATTTTCAAAAGAGGGCTTATTATGGGAGCTATAATCAATTATGGACCGATCCGGAAAAAAATTAACAAAATGATTAATTTATAGGGGCAATTTCATGTCAAGTGAAGCAAGATTGATGTTTTCCGATTTGGATGAAATTTGGTTAATACTATTGGATAGTAGCCCAGATAGATATTTTCAGCTATCGGTCAAGAACTATCGAAGTTAAAGGGGGTCCATACAGGGTTTTTTTTTCAGTGTAACTTTTCACCTATTGATCCCAACAAAAATTATCCAAAGGACTTTAAATAACTATTTCTTCAATATTTCCCAAAAAATGGTGTCTTTTTTATCCTAATTGTAAGACATCGATTTTAAAAGTTGGATCATTTGACTCATTTTAATCATTATTTATTTACGAATAAGTAATTTTCAGAAGTGGACTATATATGGTAGCTATGATAAATTATTGGCCGATCCGGAAAAAATTTCGCTGAACAATTTGTGTATGTAGTACATACACACCTAGTGTACATACTATGTACACTAGAGGTGTATAGATTTTGCTTGGTTTATTAGTGTCTAAAACATATTGGTAAATCGGATAACGGAAACAAGTGACGGAAATCGATTGAAAAGTGTAAAATATATATATGAATGTGTGCCAGCAGCCTTAACTGCTGGACCGATTTTATTGAAATTTTCGCAGTGTCTTCCTGTAAGTCTGAAAGGAACTATAGGCTACTTTTTATTTTGAAATTTTAAGTAGGCGAGGTTCCAAGCCCACATCCAAAATAAGAATTAAAAGTAGCATATCTCAGAAACTGCAACAGCCAGAGTCCTTAAATGTTGTATGGGCAACTTTGACATCCATAGGAACATATGGGCGGTCTAGCTATAGTGAGCGTGGCACCTCCAGTATCGACATGAATATTTAAGGAAAAAAATGGGCGGACTAGCGATAGAAGGCGGGGCACCACCCATATGAATTAAATACAAAAAATTGATTATCTGATTGATTATTAGAGCTACAATCTTCAAACTTTGCACGAAGAACTTTAACATCCATGCGAACGTGGGGGGGGGGGGGGGTGTAAACGGGGGAATCGCACTCCCATATGAATTAAATACAAAAATTCGTATATTAGAGCTAGAATCTTCAAATTTTACATGAAGAACTTTGACATTCATGTGAACATTTAGAGAATAACGGGCGAATTTTGAATAAGGGGCTTGGCACAATATTAATTAAATACAAAATTTCCTATATCTGGGAAACTATTAGATTATTCAAATTTTTCATAGATTACATTAAAATCTTAATTAACGTTCGGAAAAATTGGCGAACTTGCAATAATTTGCGTGGCATCTCCCATAAGTTACAAATTTTATATCTGGAAAACTATTGTAGTTAGAATCTTCAAAATTGTTAAGTGGGTTTTTTATTTTTTTTTTAATTATTAATTAATTTAATTAATTGTCTTTCCGATGAGGTATAGAAAAAACAAAATATTTTATATATAAATGTAGAAATTGCAAACAGAATGATAAACTTATAAAAAGTATAATAAATACCATTAGTCAAATAAAACCGAATATTTAATGTACATACTCGTTAAGACCACCTATGACAATATTTTATGAAAATATTTTGCAAATATTAACTAAATCAATTGGAGGATTTTCTATAAAAATAGGTTTATGTATGTGTATTTTCATCATAAAAAAAAACTTAAATATGCAGATAATCAAACTATTAAAACATTTGGTTTAAAAATAACTGATTTTGTTGAAATAAGTATAAAGAGTTTAATAGAAAACTGAACAAATATTTTACAAAGTATAAAATTTATAATAAGAGTACTTAAAGGTCCTAATAAAATAATTATATTTTGAATGTTTATATATATTTTTGGTAACAAAACTAAAATATTTATTAATAATAACAGTACAAACTTAAATTAACTAATTTATGGCACAAGTGAATTCATGTTAAAATTACTAACAGAACATGATCACATTATTTAAACAGAATAATTACGGAGTCCTTAGATATTATAACTCCTTTAAGAAACTACTAACTTATAAATATTTATTTTGTATATATAAAAAAATAAACTTTAAAGAAAGAAGTTCCCCTAAACAAATATCTTAACATTCTGGCATATTTATAATGTTTCATTCTTTCAGTTAGTGACAACATTCACTTTCGTAAACATCTTGTTTAATCCAGCCAAAGAAGAAATAACCCAAACCCAGACCCAAAACAACGGCCAAACACAACCAATAGTTAAAAGTCATGAAGATCAACATCAGCAGATAGGAAAGTATAATTTGCACCAAATTGATAAGTGTTTGTATAAGGTGGGGTTTGGCAAATATCTTTTCCTTATAAGATTTCTGACGTATTTCGGGCATATTACCATGACAGGCAGGTTGTCCATTTGAGGTACCAGCACCACCATTTTTCTGTTGTAATTCAGCGGCCACACGTTCAGCTTCTTTCTTGACAGTTTGACGCAAAAAGTATTCACGAACAAATTTCAAACCTTCATAGAGGAACGATACCAAAAAGATGGCCAAAGCGGAGAAAACAAATTCGGTGACAGTACTGGCAACCCAACCATTCCATAAAATACGTTCACAGTGACCGGCATGGAACTGTAATATAAGTAAAATTTCGCTTTAAATGTATTTTATTTGACAAATTGTTGTGTGAGTTTTTCTTTTCTTTAAGTGTAGCGTATACCAAAGTTTTGGATTTGTTTAGGTTTTTTTTTTTTGTCTTCAATTCTTTATCTGTCTCTTTGATAATACGTATAGACTACTGCTGAGTTCTCGATTCGAATGGTAAATAAATACAAGGTGAATGAATTATAAGCATATATCATCGAGAGAGATAAGTCAGACATTGTGTTAATATTGTATTTAGTTTGTTTATTTTGCTCTACTTGTTTAAATCAATATGGTCTATTTAGCGTTTTTAGTTGAAGTGGTTATGTTTTTGAAACTATAAATATATCCGATTTTTGGCCTATATATTGAATAGATTTTCGCGAAAATCTCTATAAATCTCAGTTATTTTATTTAAATTTTAAATTTTTTTAAATATTTTTAATTTTTATAAAAGCATTATTTTTAATTCACAACATATGTTAAACTTTTAACGATTTCAAACATAATTTTCATCACTGATACTTCTTTCAAATCCATTAATATTGTATGCTTAGGTTGTTTCATTATATATAAAACAATTATATTTACATATTTTAATATCCGGATTTTTTTTGAATACTTTAAATACTAGAAATCTATGAACAAAATAATTTTTATTATTTAAATAATTTTCATAAATTTAACAACACTTTTTTTTATACCAAACGCCACACTCTTTACTAAATCTTCCAACAAATAAATCTCTTATATTCTCTTAAAAACTTAAATAGACTATAATGATTTTAAGAGCACTGCAAAACAAAACACTTGTTTAAATTATGTATGATCAAAGTAAAACGATCAAAGAAACGACTTGAATTTTACTCAGCTGTATGTTACACTCACAGAACAATTTAAATTAAAATTGTATTTGATTTATGAAAATTTATTAAATCAAATTAAAGAAATTGTATACTTACGGTCATAATCATAGGGCACATTTTGCCACCACCCATGTCACCGCCACCACCCATACCACCGTGATCATGATCGTGATCCATTATTAAATGATTTTTTTTTTTCAAAATTAAAAATTAAACAAAAATATTAATTATTTTAATAACACCACAACCACAACACTTGTTGCAAGTGAAAGCCAACTTAATACTGATTCTCACAAACACTGTGTTCAGCTCTTTTTAAAGTCTTTTCAACGGCTACCTTGTGAAATGACACTAACAACTGCACTGGTTGTGTATCAAACACAAAAATTAAAACAAATTTTTTTAATCCATAAAACTCAGATAAGAATTTTGTAGAGCAGTAGAACTGAGCGAGTTAGGTAGACAGGCAGAAAGACTGACAAACTGCCGTTCGTAGTACAGAGTACTCAGAGGTAAAATTTACTTATATGTTACCTATAATTGTTGGTTCCAAAAAACCTACACTTTAACTCAGGCATACACGAGCCCATCTACCCAAAAACAACTTCAATATACAACTGAATTATGTTCTTTATTTTGTTATCTTTTAAATAAGATATGATCGTTTTTTTTTTAAGTTTTAGATATTCAAATACAACAATAAGAAAAAAAAACGAGTACAATCTGTTAAATAAAATATATTATTACTGCTACTCACTTGTTGTTTATGAATAACAAAATATGTTGTTGTCTTTGCTCTTCTCTTAAATGATATTTAAAAGTATGTTTGCTATTTGTATTTTATCATCAAGTTATAAAATATTTATCGCATAGGCTGCAGTTTTTACATTTATAAATAATTTATTCAACATTTATTTATTTGAAATGCCTAGAATGCAATTTTTCTTACGTTGAGAGCAGAGAAAGTATTTCGGTATTTCCATTAAATTAAGTTAATTTATACTCACATTCCCAAGAAATTTTTACGGCAATCCCGGTAATTTGGCAAAAATATTTCAATTTAAAAAAGATCAGTAAGAATTTTATTTAAGTACGACATATTATTAAATTTAAAACAACTTTATTATTCCTTTTAGCTAGTCATTGCCATACGATTTCAACATCAACATCTTTAGATTTAAACAAATTCTTACAGAAAAGGCTTTTCTGGTCACAACACTGATTGGTTGAAATACTAAAAAGTGCATAAGCACTCATATCTACACTAATATTATTCTAAGGCACCCATGCGATCTAAAATTGGTGAAAATGTTTATACATCACAGATGACTTGCTGCTTTTCATGGAGAAAGAACACCGTAAACCAAGAACAACGGCTTATACCATACTTCATTCTCCAACAAATGAAGGTAAAGTTAGGACCTTTTGCTATGAAAGTATTAAATGTATCTCTCTTTTATCTACAAACTTCCACGCACGATGTTTATCAACCATTGTATTATCATCAGACTTAACCTAAAGTGCCGTTCGTACTCTTTTGGACTGATATAGTACAAAGCGCGATGATCTCATCCAGTGATGCCAGGAGATTTTTTCCAGAAATCCCTACGCTTATGAGAAAAAATCCCTTTTTTCCCTACACTCACTTTTTATTTTCCCTACATTTTTCCCTACACTACTTTTTTCCATTTTTTTCAAAGTTTATCTTAAAAAAATACAAAAATAACATAAAAAACTAAAATATTAGCTCCGTTTTATAATATACATATGTGTATATATGTATTTTTTTAATTTTTAGGAATGAAATTTCTAGAATTTAAATTTTAATTTTTTTTTCTTTCAATTTTGCATCATACAAATCTTCCAACCCTGACTCTTCAGTTAAGATTAAAAAAACAAGACAATTGAAAGATTTATGGCAGTATCATGATTCGATGTTAAAAATTTATTTTATGTACCTCCAACAAAAAAAAATTCATAAAATAATTATTTTGAATAAGGTTTACTTTTGCGTTTACTTTTTGCGGTTTACTTTTATAAATTTTCAGTACATTAAATTCATTTTTTCAATGCTGAGTTACTGCATTAAGCCCCCGACTACTCTATCTATAAGGAGTCAGAATATATCGCCCTACAGGATTGGCATAATCCAAAAAGTCGTTTCAAGAAAAATGGATATGAATATTTAATGACATTTAACAATTTTTTTAATAACTTTTAAACAAATCAAGGGATTTTAAAAATCCAGATTCAGATAGTTGAGGTTAATATGTTTCTCATGAAATTAAATTTTGAAATTAATTTTGTGTTGTAGCGATATGTAGGTACATATATTGTAGGAATTACAAGCGGAATTTTTACTAACGATACACTTAAAACTGATTTAATTTTAACGTTTAATACATGAAAGAGTATATTTTTTGTTGTTAAAAACTATGAAATTGAAAAATCCCTACAATTTTACAATAATAAGAAATCTTTCCCTTTTTCCCTACACGTGAAATTTTTGAAAAAATTCCCTACAAAAAGGGAAAAATCCCTACACTTGGCATCACTGATCTCATCATAGGATGTGATGCTGATATCCATCACACTCTATTAGGGAACTCGGACATACATATGTATATGTATATAATGGAGGTAAAAGTATAATAGGATCATATCATTGTTATCAAGCTGATTAGTAACACTGACTCAATTAAAATGCTTGATTGAAAGGTGTCACTTGAATGTTCTTTTCACGATCATTATAAGATCTTACACTTGATAGGCCGGTATACTATCGAAATCCTAGAAGAACTGATTGATTAAAATTCATTCAAATTCACATTGAAGCCTCTGAATAGCTCAGTAAGTTTTCTTTCTCGGACTCTAAGAAGCGCTATCTTTGCCCTCTTTGCAGAAGGGCTAAATGAAAATCCGCAGAGGTGAATTTCAAAGCGAGGCTGGCTTGAGCAGTGTCATCTTTCCAGGTCTTTAAATGTAAAGGGCCGGAAGGACCCAGTCTTGCTGTAATTATCAGTCATCATGCCGTGACTTACATATTAGTGTGTAAGGGTAGCCTGGAATCAGAGTATAATTCTAAGGAATAGATAGAGCTAAATGTGGTATTCATTCCCAAGGCTTGAAGATAACACAGTCCGACAATCTATACTTTTTCTAAAGGATGAGAAAACGTGAATCTAGTCTCACATTTTCTCCATCACATCTGAGATTTGAGATATCGCATCCTGAAGTTTGAAAAACGCAATTTTTGGCCCAATATTGAATATCTTTGCAACAACTACATAACTTCCTGAAGGAAGTTATTGTCACTTCCACGAATACATAAAAGGTCAGTGGAAATATTCGGAGCTCAGAGGTACTTCAAAGGGTAAATATGCTGAAAAGCAGGGCACGGGTAGAACAAGAAAGCTTGTGACTAGAGTCACACCGCAAGTGAGAGTTTGTTTTTTTTTTTAATAAAAACTTCGGAAGTAGATGGGTACTTAAACCTTATCATATATTTTTTTGAGAAAATTCCCCTGTCAAGATGCCTAAATTTTAGAAAATTTCAAGTTGTAATAGGGTCTTAATTCAAATTTGAATAGAATTCTAATAAACACTGTTGATTTTATATTCAATTTATTTTTTTCTTTTTGGAATTTTTTAATCCGCTAATTAGGTTTTTCTTAATGTTTTTTTTTTAATATTAACTCACACGGAGGGTTTTTTGGACCAGAGTATAACAAAAAAAAAAAAACATTAAGGGCTAAAGTGATTCAGGTAGCCTTTTTCCAACTATATAGGGTTTCAGTTATTTCCCAAATAAATCCTATAACTGAAAGTTAAACATTCACATCACAATTTTGTTAATTTTTTTTAGAAAAAATTGTTTAAAGATATTGAAATTTCACCAATTAGACTTTTGAAGCTGTAAGAATAATTGACAGTATGTATTATGTAATTTAGTTATGCGAATAAATTGAATATTCAAATTTATCTCATTATTTCATTCTTTTACATTACTGCAAAGTTTATATATGTTCATGTAGTTTTTATTATTCTCTTCTCCAAATGTATATGAATGAATCACTGCCATAAGAGATAGATAATAAATATTATTAATGTTATTATCATTGTTGTGATTTTGAACTGTTGTGATGTTTATGTATAAATAGTTTTCGAAATTTCAAAAAGTGCAATAAACTGTTTATACTCTTTCCTGAACATACATTTATTATACAGATCCCAATACAGAATAACATCATATCATCGGGCAAAAAAAAAATAAGACTTATAATCTCACAACCATAAGAGAATCCAATTTGAATTGTTTCTAAAGTGAAGTGGTCTTCTAATGCAGCAAAAGCTGTTCTTAAGAAATATACTGAAGTAACGTACATATATATTTCTATTTTATTTTCAGAGATTTCTGGTCCTTTTTCAATTACAAAAACGTGAGTATTTTGACTTTCAAGAAGGAAATATCTAAGATGTCTGTTACTAACCAGCAAAATCTTTACTTACCCGGTAAGTAGGCAAGTAATATTGGAGCCAAATGTAAGTGGGTGAATAACTATAACCAAAAAATAACTGGTTACAAATGTACTTACCCGACTTTTGCGGACTGAAAACCGGTTTTACAGTTGTTTTCTATGTCTATTCTCTTACTCAATGCTCCAGTAAAAAGTTACTTTATCATGCTATCTGGAATGTTTTTTACACAAATGTAAAAATAAATATTTCTTAAAAAAACTTCTAATATCGACTAGACTTAGAACCACTAACTAATTCCTTATTAGGCATACGCTATAGACAATTGGCTACTAATCCTATTCAAAAAAAGTAATAATTGTTATAAATAACAACCACTCATTACCAAGTAATGTATGAAATAACTATATTACCTACAATACTCACTACCAAAATTTGAAAATATTTTACTGGGTAGATACTGGAAATAAAACGGGAAGACTTCTGACTAAACGTTTAAAAATCAATATTTCTGAACAGTTTTACTTAATAAAACAAGAACACCACCAACTAACCTACTGGAGGCACCAATTTTCCTTATGTTCTTTATAATGTATATAGAAAAATATTCAATCTTGTGTATAGATTCTATGATTCTATGAATATGGAATCAGATATTGTCACAAGATCTTGATTAAGAGTATCATTGCTCCATATTCTCCATTATGAACATAATTATTTTATTTTCTTAAAATACCGATCCAAAAAATTCTTGAATAAGAATTATAAAATATTATCTAAATGCGAAAATATTGACAAAATGTGTGAATTGAATGATAAAGTAGAACACGTAGAATAATTGCAATATTAAAATTTTCCGCAAAAGCTTTTGTGACACTTACTAATTAAGGTAATTAATTACAGTCGCTGGTACCTCATCAAAGTACATAAGTCAATTCCTTTGTAACATTTTTTTCTAGTATGTATTTTATTTAATTTATTCCACTAAACAATTACAAATTATGTTTTACATATTCGGCAAAACGAAGAATAAATAAAAAAGAATTCATTCGTATTTATATAGTAAAGATATAGATTACATTCTCTATCGAAAATCGAATAAAGAATCACCAACCCGATAGACTAGTTTATCCTGGGAGCAACAGCACTATAAAAGTCTATAAGAACCTATAGATTTTATTCTTAATCGACAGGCAGTTGGTCGTTTAAATCACTAATTTTGATTAGTGCAAATTGTACTTTGATAGAAAACTACTTTTGGGCATTATCAGGGGAAGATCTACCACGACTGAAAACAAAAATCTACCTATATGTACATTGAATTGTGTTGGAACAAGGAATATGCGTTATGTAAGGAAGGAAAGAAGGAGTTGTGTGTGTGAAGTATGTATGTATGTATATCTACGAGTACTGGAAACAAGATCCCTAATTTCAGAGGAACACATTATAATAACAATTGAACACTGAAACAGTTCCCATATTCCGACGATGCTCCGGAATCTTTGGACAAGTACTCAAAAGATAATCTCTACCTATGCATTGCATTTTGATGGAACTAGTGAAATAAGGAGGGATAATAAAAGGGGTTGGTTTTTTGTGAACATGCAAGTGACATGAAATACCTGTATTGGAAGTTTATACTATATACGGATGTGTTGAGCGATCTTCTAATCGACAACAAATGGGTGTGTTTTTGAACAAAGACTAGTATTGCGTATTAATTTACGAATATCGGACACAAGATCCCTAATTTCAGATGATCACGTTCATTTGTAGTAACGACAGAACAGTGAAATACTTCTTACATTTCAACGGTGCTCAAGAGGAACAATATTTCTTCAAAGTCTTCTGTACGCAGCCAAATAACGCCAAAAAAGATATTGAAGCATCGGCCATAAGTGGTGTAAATAGTAAAACCCAGACACTTGAATGCTTCCTTGGTCTCTTTGGAATACAGTGACACTTGAATGCTTCCTTCATCTCTTCGGAATACAGTGTTTAGTTTAAGGAAATTCACGGCCCAGAACATCAAGTGCTTCTAATTCCGTAATATTTACATCACCCATCATAGATATGGATGAAGAAACATAATCTGTCTTGCTTTTAAATACATCACTGACTATTGCGAGCATTAAAATCGACTCTATTATAACCAACCAATTCAGAGACTGCTAATAGATCTTGGTAATACTATTGATTGTATAAGATGGTTACTGTCATCTGCAGAACAGTAAATGGGAAAATTGGAAGTTTATCATAGAAGATCATTTAGAAAATACCGTAGGGTATACCAAAGTCTGCTCATAACTTATTTATTATCGTTTATTAGCTTATCGTTCTCTATTAATCCACTGACCCATAAAAGTAAATTGCATAAAAATATGACAACATCTTTAAGATAAAATAATTTGACAAAAAGTAAAGTTTTTAAAATTTTATATTTAAAAAATATAATTTCTCAGACATGCTCTAATATGTATAAATATTAAATGTTAATTAAAACTTATGTTTCGTTACACACTAACTAATTAATAAATGCAACTTTGTATTGTTATCTATAGAAATCGAAATAATTTAATCTAATTGATAACAGTTAAACATTACAAAATACATTCATTACACATGTATTTATAATAACAAAAAAAAAAGAACAAATTTCCCAATTTAGGGAGAATAATAAATAAATAAAAATATTAAGAGCAACAGCTGATCTAGTCGTAGAAGAGAGTATCAAAGATACAAATGTGAGAACATAATTTTAAATTGATCTCAATTTTGTCTAGTTTGCTTTAAATCAAAGTTAATCTCATATGAGACAAATTATTAATTTTATATTATTGATTTTAAAAGAGAAAATAGGTATTATTCCACCAATAATTACCTCAAGGTCGTCTTAAGTATCTAATAAACAAAAAACTTAACCAATTTTTTAAAGTGATAATAAAAAATGGCCTAAAGCTAAAAATGGAAAGAAAATTTTTCCAAACATTATCGTCGATCAATCAATTGTTTAACCAGCACAAACCCATAAATAAACCTTACACATGCCCTGGCCAATTAAGAAATTTTGTAGGTTTATTATGAACTTCGTTTCCAAAGGTAGATAAGTACAAATACCTATAAAAAATATTAAATAATATAAACAATTCTAAAAAGTGTGTTAAAACAATTATTGTTTACACGTAACTGTTCGATTTTGTTAAAATCTCCCTAGACAACAATACAACCTACCGGCTCTAATACTAATATCAGCCAGAAAATAAAAACAACAACTATAAAACATGTTATTAGTTGTCGTAAACAAGCAATATAGTTAATAATACATGAGCATTTGTTTCTATACCCATAGCTCGTTGTAGATCGTTTGTTGGTCTAGTACATTTAGAGCACCTCGATACTGTTGAGGTAAGTACCGTCGACTTTTGTTTTCAGAACATAACAATGAATATTTCTTTGATATCATTTTATTTTGCCATTTTTTTCGCCATTTCTTAACTTTAAATATGATTAACGTGTGCAAAAATCTAAAGTGGCTTTAAGTTCGAAATAATGGTGCCGTGTGCAGATAGCCAATAATTTGAATAGTAGTGTCGGGTGCAAACTTAAGATTGGTTGGAATATTGGCTTAATAATCGAAAAAGGTTTTTTTTTTTTGCAAATATGAAAAAAGAGTTTGCACATTTTTAGGTGCTTTTAAAATTAGAGTTATTTTAAATAATTTGTTTCCATTTATAAAAAAAAAACGGAATGGTGATTGATTGCTTAAAGGGTGACTGACGCATCTGCGATGGAATGTTGCTCTAGGACCAGTGTTTGATTTGTTGAATACTATCTATCTATCTATCTTATCTATCTATCTATCTATCTATCTATCTATCTATCTATCTATCTATCTATCTATCTATCTATCTATCTATCTATCTATCTATCTATCTATCTATCTATCTATCTATCTATCTAATCTAATCATCTATCTATCTATCTATGCTATCATCTATCTATCTATTTAATCTACTATCTATCTTCTATCTCTCTATCTATCTACTATCTATCTAATCTATCTATCTATCTATTTATTATATACTATCTACTATCTATCCTATCTATCTAACGTACCTATCTATCTATCTATCTATCTATCTATCTATCTATCTATCGATCTATCTATCTATTTATCTTAGATCTATCTATCTATCGATCTATCTATCTATCTATCTTATCTATCTATCTATCTTCTATCTATCTTCTACTATCTATCTAATATCTATCTATCTATCTATCTATCTATCTATCTATCTATCTATTCTATCTATCTATCTATCTATCTATCTATCTATCTATCTATCTATCTATCTATCTATCTATCTATCTATCTATCTATCTATCTATCTATCTATCTATCTATCTATCTATCTATCTATCTATCTATCTATCTATCTATCTATCTATCTATCTATCTATCTATCTATCTATCTATCTATCTATCTATCTATCTATCTATCTATCTATCTATCTATCTATCTATCTATCTATCTATCTATCTATCTATCTATCTATCTATCTATCTATCTATCTATCTATCTATCTATCTATCTATCTATCTATCTATCTATCTATCTATCTATCTATCTATCTATCTATCTATCTATCTATCTATCTATCTATCTATCTATCTATCTATCTATCTATCTATCTATCTATCTATCTATCTATCTATAAGCTATCTATCTATCTATCTATCATATCTATCTATCTATCTTATCTATCTATCTATCTATCTATCTATCTATCCTATCTAGCTATCTATCTATCTTCTAGCTATCTATCTTCCTTCCACCTTTTTGTCGCACATTTTCCTTCCTCTTCCTGTTACTCGCGTCACCACACTCTTCTTATACCCACTTACTCCTACTCTACTACTTATTAATTATAAATATATGAAACTCCCTGTTCTCTAGCTACCTAAAACACATGCTCTGTCCACAACTCTGTTATTTATTATTCTCCCAATTAGATTTTTGACAATAAAGAAGAAGAACAACAAGAACACAATGTTCACTGTTTGTGAATTAGAGTAGAGGAGAAAAATAAAAAACAAACAGTGAAAAAATTAAAATTTGAAATAAATAAATTAAAAATATAGAATGAAACATTAACCAAAGTATTGAAAGCAATGTAAAGTCTTAAATAAAAGAATAACGCATTGAATATCTTGAACTCTCTGACCTCTAATGCTTTCCGTATGCTAGAGGAGATCAAGGTTACGAAACTAAAATTGATTATAAAGAGAATATAGAAAATAAGAAAAATACAACGAGGTTTTTTTAATGCAAAACTTTGCAGAAAATAAAGCCAAGTAATAGAAATTAGTAAAAGATTATTAAAACATCTTGCCATAATTAATATTATATATAATTGGTGAGTAAGTACTATGATATGACTGAGAATTTGTACTTTGAAAAACTTGTTTTGTTTTTAGAATTTCTTGATAACGTAAACACCTCTTCCCACCCACCCACTTTTATTGCTGAAAGACATGCTAATTTTACGCAGTCGTTTATTTAACACAAGATTATCTGCCACAACTAGTGGCTTAGCGGTAAAAACAAAATATTCCAATGCGAAAAGTTCAACGGCTTTAGTTCCTTACAAATATTTAAAACAGCCTACTGTTGTAGATCTTGTGGGAAATACCAGATGTCTGCACAAATCTATAAGTTTATTAAACCAACAACAAAAGTCAACAGAGGAAGTGGGAAAAGATGAGAAAGCTCTTTCCACACAAGTCAAACAGGCTATTTCGCCCTATATACGACTCATGCGGATGGATCGTCCTATTGGCACCTATTTACTATTTTGGCCTTGTGCCTGGAGTATTGCCTTAAGTGCCTCTGCCGGTTGTTGGCCCGATTTGCATATGCTAGGCTTGTTTGCCACTGGGGCTTTAATAATGAGAGGAGCTGGTTGTACTATTAATGATCTCTGGGATCGTGATATAGACAAACAAGTAGAACGCACCCGTAATCGTCCCTTAGCTTGTGGTGAAATCACACAAATGGATGCCATAGTTTTCCTATCGGCCCAATTGAGTTTGGGTCTCTTGGTATTGGTGCAATTGAACTGGGAGTCTATACTGCTGGGAGCAAGTTCCTTAGGTCTGGTGGTAACCTATCCTCTAATGAAACGAGTTACCTATTGGCCACAATTGGTATTAGGTATGGCTTTTAATTGGGGTGCTTTATTGGGTTGGTGTGCCACACAGGGTGTGGTTAATTGGTCAGCCTGTTTACCTTTGTACCTGTCGGGTATTTGTTGGACTATAGTATATGATACCATATATGCTCATCAAGACAAAAAAGATGATTTACAAATCGGTGTTAAATCTACCGCTTTAAGATTTGGAGATAATACCAAACTTTGGCTATCAGGTTTTACAGCCGCCATGCTAACAGGGCTAACAGCTGCTGGTTTAGCCTGTGATCAAACAATACCCTATTATGCTTCTGTAGGTCTGGTGGCGGGTCATCTAATACAACAGGTAAGACAAGCGTAAACTATTTTAGAATTGTTTTAATTCATAACAAATTTTCTTTTGCAGATTTACTCCCTTAATATCAATAATCCTACAGATTGCGCCCAAAAATTCTTTTCTAATAATCAAGTCGGTTTAATTTTATTTTTGGGCATTGTCTTGGGTACTTTAATGAAATCAAATGATAATGCTAAAGATACGAATTTGTCAACGAGCAACAGTACTAGTTCGAGTACAACATCTATAAATGGTTTTGTTCCCTTATCTTCTAAAACCGAGGCTTTGACGTAGTTTTTTCTTGTTTCGTTTAATACATTTTTTAGTTAATTGGTAGTATTTTCTGTTTAAGTTTTATTAGTTTATATAGTAAACCAAAGTATGGAAACAAAGTTTTTTCTTTTTGTATTACAATAAATAATCGCTTTTTGTAAATATACATGAAATTCACATTTAATTTGTTGTATGGATAATTTATGCAATATTTTATACATTTACTATGGTTATGTAAAAAGCACTTGAATTTAACAAGTTCTTGTTTAACAATAGTAGTAATAGTTTAAATAAAATGGAATTACTTTGTAGAACAATAGTCTTTTAATTGCATTATAATTAACTGTTTCTCTGTTGTCCTGGGAAAACAGTATGTATTTTGATTACTTTTCAGCATCTAGTTACACAACAATTCCAACAAAAAACGAAAGCATAAGAACGTAGCTACGTTTTTGTTAGTAATGACGGAGCATGGACATATTTTAAATTAAAAACATATGGAACATTGCCTACTAATCGACAAGAATTTTCACTTAAAACGAAAGTTCTTTTGTTCCGACTGAAATCAGTCTTTCAATTTTATGCATTTCTAAGTTTATAATAGTAACTGTTCCTCTGTTATGGAAGAAGGTGAGAAGAACAGGTTTTGCTCAAACTTAGATCAGAATGGAACGAACGATGAACCAAATTAAATAAAAGTGGAAACTACAGACTACTATTTGTTAAATTATTATAAAAATATTGTATTCCCAAAGAAAAGAACTATTGGCCACAGAACAACTGTTACAATAACAACAACTGCCTGATATGCGGCATTGGGATTCAGCCCCGGAAAACACAAATTATGTTACCACAAAAAGTACAACAGGTTGGAACAACAATCAAAGTAAACCTAAAAACTGAGTAAATAAAAGACTTACCTTATTAAATATCCAAAATATGTTACAAATTATTATTTATTTTTAATAAACACTTCACTTTTAACACTTTTTTTACAAAACAGGCCATAGAGATATATAAATTTACACATTTTCTTTCAATTCTTTTGCATACTTTTTATTTATTTTTAATTAACTCTCTTTTTATGTTATACTTTATCAATTTTTTTTGCAATAAATTACATTCAAGAGAAGCTTATTATTTAAATAAATTATTTGCTTAATTTAGTTGAAAACTTGGACACAATTTCACTGCTTATTTTTTTCACTACTGTCATATTTCCCGCTTTATTTGTTATGTATTTTTCTTCTTGACTCACTCCTCTCAAAGTTACACAACAATGAAAAAAAGTCTGCATAAACAATAACAACACTATTTTCATCCGTTAACTAGAGCCAACAACAACAACATTACTACATCCGTTATTTTTGTTTGTTATTTTCTTTAACTAGAGAGGGCACCACTAACAAAAATTAAGCGGAGACACACACTCACTCTTTTTTACATTAACATAAATAGAAAGAAAGTGCCGTTAATTATTTTCTTCTGGAATTGTGATGTTTTTTTGTTAATAAAATTTTATTAGTTTATAACATTGCTTTAATATTTTATACATTTAACAATTTTATTATATCTTTTAAGTATTAAATTCAACTCAACAGTACTTTTTGGCAACATTTCCAGAACTGTGTGGAATTTTCAACCGTAATAATCAACTGCTGAAATAGAACTAAAGAAAGTTTTCATATTTTGTTATGAATTATAAAGAGAAGGGAAGGAGAATGTAAATAGATAAAGTTTTCTTTTATATTAATGAGGAGTTTGAATCAGTGATGGTAAATTGAAAAACATTAAAAATTGTACTTTTTTGATTCCAATTGTTTTGAAAATTTATCTCAATATGCATGAAAATCATTTCAATTCAACTTCCATGGATTAGTCAATAGACTGGTCCATATACTAGACAACATACTAACCTATGCACTAGAATATAGACTAAGTTGTCTATATATTAAATAACAAACTAGTCAGTCCATAGACTATACGGCTGACTATTCTATATACTAGGCAATAGACCAGTCTAGTCTATATACAGATATTCTATAGGCTAGACATTTGATTAGTATATAGACAAGACAATAGATTGGTCTATAGATTAGAATACTGACTAATCCATAGACAACTGACTAGTCTATATATTAAATAACAAACTCGTCCATAGACTAGACAGCTGACTATTCTGTAGACTAGACAATAGACCAGTCTAGTCTATATACTGATATTCTATAGACTAGACAATAGACTGGTCTATAGACTAGAAAACTGACTAATCCATAGACAGCTGACTAGACAAAAGACTATAGAAAGACTTATTCCATAGACTAGACAAATGACAAGGCAACTGACGAAATAGACTAGACAATTGACTCGACGAGAGACTAGATAACAGACAAGTCCATAGACTGGACAAGAGACTAGTCAAGACAACTAGACAACTGACCAGTCCATAGACTAGACAACTGACTAGCCCATTGACTAGACAACTGACTAGTCCATAGACGAGACAACTGACTAGTCCACAGACTAGACAATTGACTCGACATGAAACTAGATAGCGGACAAGTCCATAGACTAGACAATAGACTAGTCCATAGACTAAACAAGAGACTAGTCTATAGACTAGACAAAAGACTTGTCCATAGTCTAGACAATGGCTAGACAAAAGACTAGACAACTGACTACTCCATAGACTGAACAAGATATTAGATAATAAACTAGTTTATAATAATATTGTAGACTTAACCTATAACCTCCATTATAGCCTTTTCTAATCTTGAAAACCTGATATTATAAAGAAATTGTGAGATCAGATTCGTTTTCAGGACAGTTCAATCTATTCGTCTCTGGATTTGTTGGACTGCATTATCAATCAATTTCCCCCGACACTTAAAAGTTAACCTATAACCTATTTTATAGTTTTTTTTTCTAAAGTTTAAACTACAAAAATGCATATTTATTTTGGTTTTAAAGGAGTTTATTCTCATTATAAGAGTCATAAACTTAAGGATAATTTCTGTTTGTTTTAATTGTTATTAATAATAAATTTATCTTTAAACATGCATTTAATATTTTAAAGCTAAATTAAAAAGGGTGTAGGAAAAACTCAAATAAAAACAATAAATTTCTGTTAATTCTTTAAGGTTTTCTTAAAAAAAATACAAACTTATATTTATTTAATATTAATTTAAAACCAAATTAATAATAAAAATAATTTTCTCACGAAAAAGAAAAATTCATCACTTAAAAATACAAAATTTACAGAGTTCTTTTATTGTTTAAAACAAATTACATATTTAAAATAAAACTAAATTAGATTTAAGTATAAATTGTTTAAATAAGCTTTTTCATAAACAAATTGTTAATTGTATTTTAATTAAAATTATTTTTATTTCCATTTACTAAAAGTCTCCATTTTTTTACATAATCAATATTATTTTTTTTTTTAATTAAAAACATTTTAAAATTTATTTTTAAAATTAAAATATATTTTATTTATTAAAATTATTTAATTATTTTAAAAATATAAAAAATAAATTGTAGACATTTATCAAATAATTATGAAATTCTTAGAAAATATAGTTTAATAAAATTAAAACAAAACTATAACATTATTCCGCTAAAACCTTTTTTTTTATACAAATTAAAAATTAATTTTTAATTGTAAATGTATTTAATTTATATTTACCTTAAATTTCTAATTAATTTCAATTAGATCAAAGCTAATTAATACATAAATTGGTTTTCTAAATAATAATAATAATATTTATAAACATATAAAATCCCTTGTAAAGTAATTATTATATATAAATATTAAATAATTGATCAAGAGTTTATAATGTAATAAAACTGAAATATATATATTTTTATTATAAAATTAAGTTTTAATAAAAGATATGAATTGTTTCTTTTTGGAGATTTTAACATTCCGTATTTTCTTTCGAAAGCAAAACGTATTTATATTACAAATTAGAATATGTTTGAATTGAGTTACCGCGTAATCCTTTAACAGATTTCAAATTTTTCAATATTTCACCTCTCACGCGAGGCGTGGCGAACATTTTCTTCATTAGCTATCAAGAATTGTTCGTGAAGTGTTCATTTACAATTCGTAACAAAATTCACGTGGAAAAATTTTGCAAACGAGTAACGATTTGAAGAAAAAATCAAATTCTGTGGAGAAATGGTTCAGATATGAAAAGATCTCCAAAACATATTTTTTACCATATTTTCGGATATATCTCGAAATTTTCTAGACAAAATGTATATCAAATAAAAGGTCTTTCAAATATCTTTTTTTTTTAATATATCCAGACATACATAGGCGTTATCTATATTTATAGAAATATATTCAAAATTATGAAAAATTATAGATCAATTTTGCTGCTTTTTCTTAGTAAATTTCAAGAAAGCATATCTGATAAAATAATTAAAGATTTGTATTCCGAATTTCTAGAGTCTTTACAAACTCCATTTCAAAAAACATGCGGACACAACTAAATGGAATTTAATAACTATAAGGATCCAAAATAGACATGTATATACTGTATGGGGTTTCCAAATTTAATAATAGCTATTCTGCATTTCAATTTGAATCGAAATTTTCTTGGTTTGTCAACTTTGATATTCTGCATTTCGCTTCGACGCTTCGTCATGCAGAATACACACGAATCGTAAATTATTAAAACGAAATGAAATTGTTTCTTCTTACAATTCCGGTTTTTTTTTTGTTGGAATACCTTTTTTAGATTATTGCGTAACTGAATGCGAAAACGTAATCGAAATGCAGAATATGGGGTGATTACAAACAGAAGAACAAACGTATACCGCTAATCCGTATTTCGATTCGTAAGGAAATTTTCACCGTTTGCGAAATATTTTATTCTGTATTCATGTATTTATGTTGTTAATGTAGTAACGCCCCATCTGATTACGTTTCTTTTTGTAATGCCTTCTTTCGGTACTTGCTTAACTGAATGTGAAAACGCTATTGAAATGCAAAAATAGGGGTGTTCGATCACCCTTGCCAAGAAGGTGTAGGAAATATCGAACTTGATGTAAATTTTACTTAATTGTTCCTCCTTTTCAAGATTTCTTTGACGAAATCTCAACCCTGCTGTATAGCCCAACTTTGGGGTACAACGTAATAACATGAATTTCTCTCTTGATGGTCCTTCAAGCCAGAAACCATAATATTACAAATAAAAGGTAAACTGAGTCTGGCGAAAGTGTTGATCAACTTTTTCCCACCAAAAGATTCCTGTCAACAAAATACATGTAACCCAATCTTACATTGAATGAAATTGAAATTACATAATAATCGTTTCTAGATCTTAAGATTACTTTTTTGTTGCAATTTGCCAAAAACTCGTTTTCAAAGATGAATCAATCGATTTACATCACTGAAGGTGTTTTTCTAAGAATTAAAAAACGTTTAACTTTAAAATTTAATTGGAAACGAAAGAAGCAAATAAGTTTTCAATCGAAAAGTGTGTCAGATCATAATGGTTCCTATGGTACCATGGATATTCGCTTCGAAACGACACAAGTCATATTAGGCGAAAGATGCTCAATTCAATGACAAACGAGTTTTTTTTTCTCATGAAAGATCTATAGTTGGCAGTCGGACTGTTACAACAACAACAGACCATGTTTTTAACAACTGTTTTCTAAAGATTAAATAGGCGGTCTAGAATCTGTTGTTAGAATCTAGTGAAGTTCTATAGGTATCTAAGAAAATTCTAAAGTAAAGTTGGAATTTATGTTCAAATAAGTTTAAGGCTCTAAAAATCAAGAGAATTCTGAAAACTTGTTAAAAATTAAAAGTTATATGCCAATCTTTTTAAGCAGGTAAAGTAAGCTATAAACCATCAAAATCTATAAAAAAAAAACTTACATTTTCCAATTTTAAACTACAAAATTTTGAAAATGTCCATGAATTTAAGAAAAAAAATTTTCAATATATTTGAGAAAATTCAAACTAAAGTTTGAAATATGTTTAAAGCTATTAACATAGGCTCTAAATCATGAAGATTTATAAAAATTGAGTTAAATTTTTAAGCAAAGAGTTTTGAAATTTTCAAAAAATGTAAAATATTTTTAATTTTAATTTAGTTTTTTTCATAATATGAAGTTTACTTCAGTTAAGCTCAAAAATTCGAACTTAAGTTTGGAATTTGTTATAAAAAAGTTTTTAAAATAAACTTATTTTTTTAACTTAACTTTTTTTAAAAAAAAAAAATCCAAAAAATGTATCTAATTTATTTAATCTTTAAAATTGAGCAATCGATTGAGTTTGTTATTATATTTTTGTTGTAAAAACTAAAAGAAAATAATTGAAAACGTTTTTTATTTGTTTTGTAAAATATTTTTAAAATATAAAAAATTTCATATATATTTTGTTTTAAAGTTTAAATGTAAAAGCTTGATTTTTTACGATTTTCTTTAAATTACAACATTTAAGCTTAAAAATTTCATTTTTTTTTATTTTTAATATAATTTTGTTTTATATTTTTTTTCACACATTAAAATCTTAAAAATTATTTTCAATAATTACATTTAAAAAGAAATATGTAGAGAAAAATAAGCGTTTGTTTTCAACAGAAAAATACAATTTCAAAATATTACATTTTGTTATTTTAAAGATAAATATATAATTATGTTCATATTTTTAAATAAAATTCGAAAATATGTATGTTATGGGTTTTTTTTTTTAATAATAATAAAATTAATTAATTAAACTTAAAAATTTGTTGTTGTTTCTTTAAATTATAATAATAGTTTAATTTAAAAATAAGAATTTCTCACCAGGCAAACTATAAAATAAAATTTCTTCTCTTCAAAACTTCTACTTTAGTTCATTTTGTTTTTTTATGTTAACTTTAATTTACGTTTGCACTAAACCTCTAATATCTGCTGTTCCTATCACGGCTCCTCCACCACCTTGCGTTGAGTTTGAGGCTAATGAGCCTATTGAGGCTCCTACTGCTACACCACCTCCTCCACTTCCGATAAATAAAGCTGTTGTATCCAATATATTATTGGCTGTTGATCCATTACAAAGATCGCCATTGTCCATTAACATGTCGTCGTTGAAATCGAGAAAATCACCCAATTCCGAACCAATAGTTTGTTGTAAGGTTTTCAAATGTTTGTCGGCAAGTTCGATGGCTCGTTCGATTTCATCACTTTCATCTTGATGGACTGGAAATTAGAGATAAAATAAATATAGAATTATTGAAAATTTTTAATAAGTTTTAGAAAAAAAGTCAGAATTTTCTTTTTTTAGAAAAACTATAAAACGTTTCATTAAAGGCTACTCGTTATTCTTTCTTTTGTTCCTATAAAAAATGGAAATGAAACAATAAAATATTTAGGGACTAAACTAAAATATTGTGCATTTATTAAAAGTCTTTAAATTTCCTTGCAAAACGTCAACAATTTTTTTGTTCCTATGTAAAATGGAAATGAAACAGTCACATTTTTTTTATTTTTAGAAACCGTAAAACCTTGTATTAATAGCTACTAATATTCAAAGAAAAAACATAAATGTGTAATATTTTACTTTTGTTCCTATGACAAATGGAAATGAAACATTAAAGTGTTTAGCGACTTAGCCGAAATATTATTCGTTATATTAAAAACAGCTCTAATTCCTTACAAAACTATTACAATTCTTAACTTTTTGCTTTTATTCCTATGAAAAATGGAAGTGAAACAGTCTCAATATCTTTCATTTTTAAAACATCTCATGTTTTTTGCCAAAAGCTATTCCATATTCGAATAAAAAATTATAAATGTATAATATGAAATGAAACAATAATGTATGGAAATGAAACATTAATATGTTTAACAATTTAACTAAAATATTATTTACAAATTTAAAGCAACGCAAAGTCCATACAAAAATATTATATTTTTCATATTTAACTTTTTATTCCTATGAAAAATGGAATTGAAACATTAAAATTGTTTACGATTTAACAAAAATATTATTCATTATATTAAAGCGGCTCAAATTCTTCACAAAAACTTTTAGTTTTTGTTCCTTGTAAAATGGAAATGAAAAACTCTCAGTTTTATTTATTCATAAAAAATCATATAATTTTTGTATGAAACAAGTCATTTTACTCATTCCTGTGAAAAATGGAATTGAGACATTAAAATTTTCATTATTTAATCACTTGTTTTTAAATAAAAAAAATCCCAGAAATACAGTGGACGTCCAATAGTACGTACACTCTTTATTACGAATATCCAATAATACGAATGGCAAAATTGTTGCATTGTCTACTCTATAGTACGAATAAAGTCACAATTTTTCTGTTCGATAGTACGAATAACGCATTTTTTATGGGAATTTTGGTTTTATTTACGTATGAATGAAGTTTTTATTATGTTTTTATTTTATTATTTCGGTATCATTCACCTTAAGCTCAGTAATTTTGAAGTTTTTTTGTATTTAATACAAGTGTTTTGTATTTTTAAAAATCCTATACACACAATTTACGGCATGTATATTTACAAATCAACAATTATTTAGTGTTATTAATTTATTTTATTGGAATTTTGATGACCCAAGAGAAGAAATTAAATTGGATGATAACGCCAATGAGGAAAGTATTTTATTAGTTCCCGACAATAACTCTGCTGAGAACAATATTGAAGCCTCAAAAGCGCTGTTATTGAAAAAGCCGTAAGAATCATTTTACAATGTAATAAACATCGATGTTAAATGATGGATTTTTTAATAAGTAAAATGATATTTATATACATATGTATGTATGAACTGTTAATTTTGAAAGTAGTGTGACTCCACATTCCAAACAATGGGTTTAAGGATAACTATTCTAATTTTTAAGAGAAAATTATAAATTAGAGAATTGTGGTATATTCCATTCAAGTTTCTAATAAATGTTTTATGTAATCTGAACATTTTAATACATTTTAGAACACATATGTAAATTTCAAATTGTCTTTGGCACACATCTTTTTAAAAACATTAAAATTTAATACCTTCTACATATATCTCATTTCAACCATTGGACTCACGATACTTTCAAAATTAACAATTCATATACGTAAATATGTTCCTTTTATGCCTGTTTATGTACAAGAAATTTATTTAAAATAATAAACATTTATTATATTTTGTTCCGTTATGTAATTTTTCATGAAAAATAAAACAAAAATAAATAAAATCCAATATTTTATGTGTATTATTTGAATTTAAACATACAAAATGTGTTGTTCAATAATACGAATTTTTCGGTATTACGAAAGGGCCTGACACTATATAATTCGTACTAGTGGACGTCCACTGTATATATTTCCTTGCAAAATAAAATCTCTTGTTAAACTCACCTGTTGTAAATAATTCTTTAAATGCATCTTCTGGCAGGGAATTTAAAACATTCTCCAAATCATGTTCCTCCAGCAAGTGGGTATCGCCCAAGGGAATATCATCTAAACGAAATACAAATCAGTTAAAATATCAAATAATCACTGAAGTTACAAATTTTCTTAAATTACCTTCTGGACCGCCCAACATTAATTCGGGATCACTTAAACCACCCAAACCAGTATCCGCCGAACTGGCTGAACTATTTTCACATATACTCAACATATCCTGAGTAAGAAAATCATCGGCCGTTGGCAATGAAGTTGTCGAACCCATACCCGAAGAGGTGAAATTTGAATTGGAGTTGGTGTTCAACAAATTAACATCGTTTGAGGAGTCGGCCTGTGCCTGCTTTTGAGCAGCCAAGGAAAACTGAGAAATGAAATCCTTTAGTTCGGTTGGTGTGGAGGCGGTTGTGGCAGGAGTAGCGGTGTTCGTGTTGCTTGTGGTGAGGGAGAAGGAATGTTTATCATTTAGATTAAGAATGGGATGAAGTTGTTGCTGATGCTGTTGCTGAGTGTGATTTTGATGATGATAGTTATCATGACCAAAACTAAACAAATGTTGAGGAAAACCATGACCCACCAAACCGCTAAGAGGTGCTAAAGCTGGTGGTGGTAAAGATGAATTTGTTGTTGTAGATGAGGTTAAGCCATATAAGTTTTGCAGTTGCAGTTGCTGTGACTGCTGACGTTGATATTGTTGTTGTGGTTGTTGTTGCGAGGTACTTGATGTTGTTGAATGTTGTGAATTGCTGGCTATAGATTCTAAAGATGTCGTACTACTTTTACGTTTCAAACTAGTCGCTGTTAAACGTGGCATTTGTTGATGTATTACCGGTACAGCTGCTGATTTTTCAATAGATTTCTTAACACGTTTTTGTGGTCTACCCACTGGATTGCCAGTTAAACCAACAGTCATTTTACGTTTACGTGCTGCTTGATTAACTAATATTGGTCGTTTACCATTGTTGCTGTTATTGTTAGCTGGTAATTGTTGTAATATATGTTGTTGCTGCTTCTGTTGTTGTTTCTGCAGCTTCTGTTTTTGTTGATATTGAGTTTGGGCTTTTACTAAAACACCCCCTGCTTCTGCTACGTTTGCTCCCCCGACCATTACTGTATTGATGTTGCTGCTAATGTTGGCTGACAGTTTTGATTCATTCATAATATGGGGATTTGTAGAGATTTTACGTGGTCTTTGTTCATATAAAAGACGATTGTAAGCATCACGTTTGCGTGCATGTTCCATGCACAAGGGCAAATCATGAGTTATATCAAATACTGGTACTCTACATTGTGTATTATCGGCAAATTTGGCGGTACACGGCAAGAATACATGTTGGGCTGAATTATAAACGATATGTTGTTGGCAGTGTGAGGCCATTTCCAGGGTATAGGCATCACAACCATTTACGCAACAGCGTTTAACATTGGCGGGTAGTCTGAAATGAAAAAATGGTGTTAAAATAATGTATGTTTTTAAGGATGTAATGAACAAAATAATGAGAACCTCGAGCAATTTGAAAGTAACATTAAAATTGTACATTATTTAAGTGAAATCTTATTCATATTATTAAAAGCTAAGCAAACTTCTAACAAAACTTTAATAATTTTTAACTTTTTGCTACTGTTCCTATGAAATATTGAAATGAGACATTAAAATGTTTTCTTCTTTAAATCTTATTCAAACTATTAAAAGCCCCTCAAGTTCCTTATAAGAAATATGGAAATGAAACATTGTCTCCCCCCCTTCAATTACTACTCTACTTACTCTTTTTTATTTTGTTCACTATGTTGATATTTTCTCAGCAAACGATCGACACACATTAGGCGACGTCTTGCTATCTGTATTGGTAATTTTTGCAGAGATCTTGTAGAGATGAGTTGCATAGCTTGTCGACGCAACTGACGTTTATACAATGCAATACGCTCCTCACGGGCTAACGAACGATTTAACGACTTGTCGTCCATTGACAACAAATCAGAAGATTTACGCAAATCATATGAATTAAGCCAATACTGTTGCAGACAATAGGGTAAGCCAGTGGCGGTTGCTAAGTGTGTTGTATCCAAATCAACATGATGTTGGGACATTTTAACAATGGCCACGGCACCTTTAGTTGTGCTACAACCCATTTGCAAATTGTAGGGTAAATCATAATTGAGATTTATTGTTGCTGTTGTGTTTAATGTATTATTCGTTTTGCGGGTTTTATTTGTAATGTGCGTTGAAGTTTTTGTTTTTAAATTTGTTGTTGGAGTTGTGTCGCCATTGATGATTTTTGTTAAACTTTCTGAATTTGTTGTGATTTTAGAATCATCATTTGCTGCTGCTGTTGTAGCAGCTTTGTTGTTTGGCGTTTGTTGTTGTTGAGAATTTAAAGCTGTAGTTGTTTCATTGTTTTGTATGGAAGACGTATTGATCTGTTGTTGTTGTTGTTGTTGCTGTTTTATAACTTGATTTGTTGCAATTGTTTTCGAGGCGGGTATTGACAATTTCTTATTCACATTTGTTTTGAGTTGTGTGGATAGTGGTGATGAGGGTGGTGGTGGTGGTGGGGGTGTTTGAGATGGCTGTAGTAGATCTATATCAGTTTGTGGTTTCACAAATTGTATATTATTCGAAGATTTCTCATTCTGTTGCGGTACCATAGCCATACGAAATATGACATTTACCGGTATTTCATTTAAATCTTCTGTTTCGGAATGTTTAACTGCTACACCACCACCCGCCATGTCCAATGTTTTTAAAGAAGCTGCCTTTGTGGGGGTATTAAATGGGGAAGAAGCTGCTTCAGTAATTGCTTTGACATTGTCATTGCAAATTATCACTTCAGCATCCGTTGATTTTTTCGATTTTTTTAAACATTCCACCTTGTGTAAATGCTGAGCCAATGTATGATTATGAAATTTCGATGGAGGCAGACACTGTTGTTGATTAGGCGATTGAGCAGGAGATGGTGGTGGTGGTGGAGTATGCGACTGTGCAAACGAAGTATGTACAATTATTGGAGCTACCTTAGCCATGGCAGTTGTAGTCAGTGAGGGATTCATTATGGTGGTAGTGCTGCCAACAGTTTGCACCGTTGGCGTTACACAACCCATAATGGGTGTAGTTTGAGATGTTGTTGTCGTCGTTGTTATTGTGGGTTTTGGTGACACCACTACATTGGTCACTTGTGGAGCCGGGGATTCCAAGAGTAATGGTGTTTGCCATAATGATGGTGTTGGCGGAGTATACAACGGTGGTGGTGATATAGATTTTAAATCTCCTTCATACACAGATGATGGTAATGATGTTGCATTAGCATAGTTTTGATGTTGTTGTTGCTGATGATGGTGATAATTTGGCTGCTGTTGTTGTAATTGTGGTCTTACAATACAAACATTTGTTAGTTTTTTACTATTACTGCTGCTGTTGTTGTTATTATTTGTTGCAGTTATTGTTAGAGATTGTATTACATTAGTTTTAGATGTGGGTGCTGTGCAAGTATTTGTTGTTGTTATTAATGATGCGGTTGATGTTGATGATGATAGAAAAGACGCCTGCGTCTTTAATGAATTTGTTGTTATCTTTCCATTTGTTTCAGTTAAAGGTAATTTTTGTTGCTGTTGTTGCAATTTTCCAATACTTAAAGTTGTTGCAGATGTCAGATCATTTAATCTGGTACGCGTTTTCTGTAGTAAATATAAATTAAAAGTTGATTAATGATTTTGAATTGAAATACACTTCACTTTAGCCAATGTAGGATTTGAACATTTTCGTTACTAGCGATTTTCGATAGTATTATTATTTTTTGTTCAATGCTTAATACCGAGAGTACCAGACAGTTCTTTACATTGGAATTAGTGACTAGGCACTACTGCTTCATAATATGATATTATCATAGAAATGTTAATTTTTTAAAGATAGAAACAGTAGAAAAAACATATAATTTTATTTTAAAGTCGTTTAAATTAAACGGCAAGTCCTCTAATTGGAAATTTCATTCGCCTGGAAAGTTTAGCTAAATACATATTTTCAAAAACTTTAATTAAATACTAAATTTGTAACTGTCCTATTTACCTGTGTATTAAATAATATGGGTGGTGTTGTTGGCACTGATTCTGTGAACACATACGGATCTTCTTGTTGTACTATTACTCCTCGTGTGTTACGATTTCCTTTAATAATGTTGTTACTGCTGTTGTTGCTGAGGTTATTTAAATTTTTACAATTGCTGTTGTTATGGTTGTTTCTGTTGCTGTGGGTGTTGTTGTGGTTGATGTTGCTGCTGTTTGTTATAAATCTTGATGCTTGCTGACATGACATGTCCCAGTAAAATAAAAAAGTTCAATGTTTTTTTATTTATTTTTTTTTTTTCTATTATGAGGTTTCCTGCTTTATTTAATATTCAGTTGCGTTAGTATCTTCTTAAATTTCCACAATTTACAATTCAAATTTTATATGTAAATTATAAATTTAGCTGCGTTTAAATAATAATAAATGTTGGAAAAAAAACACAAAACACAATATAAAATGTTTATAATTTTTCCGTAATAAATACTTGAAGAAAAATATTAAACCTGTAATGAGAAAACAAAGAAAAACATTTAGAAATATGTAACATATAATGTTCATAAAATAAATAGAAAATAAATATACAATACACATGTATGTTTATATTTATGTATAAAGCAAAAGATAATTACTTTAATGTTTCCAGTAGTTAGAATACAAAAAAATACTAGATGTTGTATAGAGAATATTAAAAGACATTTAAAAGCCTACATCTAGATGTTTACCACGCCATGAAGATAACATGCAAACCAAATTATATTCTCTTACTATATTATATCTCTATATATTTGAAATAAAAACACACCGACTTTGAGACTGACTGACTCATTTGAGTAATTAAAAAAAAAGCAAATCAAAAAGCAAACAAACAAATAATAGTAGTAATTCAATGGTGGAAACCGAATTTATATAACAATCCAAAATCCAGAAGACCCAAAGTATACTTTTCCGAATCTAAACACAGAAGTTAAGAAATTTATAACAACGCCAAAACAGAGATTTAACCTTTATTTTAAAGCCGTCAGATTGGACTTCTTCGATATATAAGATTCTTTTTATTAAAATATAATATTTTGAATTTTTAAAAAGTCTAAAGTAGCGTCTAATACGCATTATGACCCATAATTCTAATCAATTACAAACACATACCGATAAACATATATTTTTGTTTACATATGTATAGTGTTTGTGTTTTGTTCAAATAGATTTTTAACTATAAAATACGCCTACAAATATTTTAGCTAAGATTTTGAAAGTATATATCGGATGTTTAGAAAATTAATGTAGTATTTTTGAGGTTTGTTGTTTACAATTTAGAGATATGTAAAGATAAAGTTTTTTAATTATGAAATACACATATAAATTGAGTAAATAGAATTGAAAACATGAAAAAGTATGCAAGGTAATCTGTTTGATATATTCTATTTCTTATTAATTTCTTTACAAATGAACTTAAAACTTTCAATTAGAAAAGTTTCCTTACTAAACTGAATATTAAGGTTTTTTAAACTTCCAATGAAATGCATGATATTTTTTGTTGGTTGATTCAAGTCTTAACTTTACAATGAATTTTTCTCCAATGGATAAGAAAAATGCAATAAATCCAAACTCATCAGAAAGACATTAAGTCAGAATTCGAGTAATATTGTGTCATTCCAAAACATTTTGTTATACACTCTAGATTTTAATGGAAATATGAAATAGGAAATATGTCTCAAGTTTTATCTCAAACAAACCTTAAATACCTATCTCCTTTTTCTTAATTCAAATATCAGACCTAATATTATGGAATATTCCCGGACAATAGGTATAGATTTCTGCAATAATAATTCTGAGTAGATCTTTCACAGACTAAAGGTAGACAAAGAGGTAGACAAAAGTTGGTTTTTACTAAAATAAATTGTTGCGTTGAATAATTAATAGAGCCGCCAATGTAAAAAAATAGCATATTTATAATAAAATATTTTGTCATGGCAAATAAATATAAAAAAGAAAAAGAGAAATTCTATACGAATATAAAGAAAATAAAAATTAAATATAAATAATTAAATAAAACGTACGTTTTGTTTAGTTTGTCACGTTATTTGATCACCTTGTACAATGTGGTCAGAACACGTTTTCTCTGCTTTGCACTTTAACGTATGCAGTTTTTTTTACATAAAAAAACGCAAAAAAAGAACTTTTAAATTGTAAAGAAAACATAAAAGTATTTTAGATACCTATTCATTTTAACACTTTTTTTTTAATACCTACACAATACTAAAATTTACAAAATATATAAATTGCGTATTTTTTTAATTTTCTTTGTCCTCTTTTCTTTTAATAACAATTTATTTTATGATGTTTTCACCAGTAAAAATTTTATACTTTTGTTATGTTTTTGTTTGTTTATTTTGATTTTATAAAAATTTATAACAGTTCTTTGTCTGCTAAAATTGTTATTGTTTTTTTTTTCGTTTTCTCTCTCTACCTCCCATTTTCCCATATTCAATTTTAAATTTGTTGAGTGCATTTGCCAAAGAATAAATAAGAAATGAAACTGTTTTCAAAAGTACCTAAGTCTACTGTCATCCGGTACCTAACTCTATGAATGTATTAGTAAAAATCTCAAGTCAACATAGTTGCAAAAAATCGTATTGAAAAATATTGAAAAAATATATTACATTTCAATTTATACTTTGAAAGGTTTCTTAAGATATTTTCCACATATTTTATCTACAAACATTTTATAAACACGTCTATTTGTTTTTTAATCTATAATATTGAAAAAATAAATTATTTATTTGAAATATCTTTTTCGTTTACCATACGAAAATTTACAACATTGTTTTTTTTAGTTTTAATTTCAACCAACAAAAATTCAATGTCAAAAAATAAAAAATATTTTTTTTTCGTTTGTAAAAAATATATTATTTTCGGGCTATTAAATGTGTTTAAATTGTGCAAAAAAATTATAAAATATAATGTTAAGTGATAAAAAATATTTCAAAGTGCTATTATCCTCAAATTTTCGCGAAAAAGTTTTGAAGTTTGGAGAGAGAATAAAATTTTTATATATGTGTTGGATTTACACAGCACTCGTCTGTGAGAAGAGCGTAATGTTATTGTTGTAAAAAAATGACAGCGTTTCACTTCTTGTTTATTCTTTGGCATTTGCTCTATTTAGCCTCCTTTCTAGTTTTTGCTCTTTTCTTTTTCTCTTTTAAATTAAATAAAACAAAATATGCAAATAACAAAGTTTTATAGAAAAATAAACAAAACAAAAATAAAATACATAATAACAATATTATCAATGGCGCAGTAGAGTTGCATTTTTTCTATTTTTTTGTTGTTTGTTTGCATTTGTCATTGTAGTATCAAATTTTGTTATTGTTGTTGTTGTCCCCACAAAATGTATTTCATTGCTCCTTTGTTGTTTTCTTTAGTTTTATTTGTATACATACGTTTTGTTTTTGTTTTAGTTTTTATTTTTATTATTATTTTTCTATTTAGTTTTTGTTTTAGTTGTTGTCGTTTGTTGTTGATATGTATTGTTTTTAGTCACCCATCAACGTGATTCGTTAAGTGGAACCACTTGTTTGCTGTTTTTTTTAATTTTGTTTATTTTTTACAATTTTAAAAGTCTGTGTTGTGATATTTTAATTTTTACTATGCAGTTTCTATGTGTATATGTATGTACATACATATGTGCAGAGTTTGTCAATTGTAATACGGAACAATAAATTATTATTTGTTACTTTCTAATTGCATTTTTCATTTCATCTTAAATCATTGAAACTAAACAGATAGATGTTTACCAACAATGAGTGCCTTATAATGATATGGCTCTGTGAGCTCGGTTCTTAAATAAAATAAAAATGATTATTACTAATTGGTGATGACGGTACGGTCTTTTCGCTGCCAAATAAGTTTTTCCTAGTGGTTTTAGCTGTTAGGGGAAACAATCCTTAAAATGTACAGCTGTGTTCAAAAAAATAGGAGTGAGACTTCAAAATAATTGTGCAGGTTATTTTTAAAAAGAAACATTTACGGAAATCCAATATTTTTTCACGATATTTGTTTGTTAGGTGTTTAAAATAAAAAACGAATGAAATTTGTATATAGCTTCATTAGTTCTTTTGTTATTTACTTTTTTCGGAATCCATATCAGATTACGACTGTTCAAAAAAATAGGAGTACGGTATATTCTCTAACCTAAGTTAGACTAATTTTCATCATTCGTAGTAAATATTAAAAATATAGTATAAAATTCTTGTATTTGAATAAATTTAAGCAATTTTAAACACAGTTCACGATTATTTCATTTAAAATCATGAAAAAAGTGTCAGAATTTACGAAAGGGGAAATCTGTTTAAATATCTTGGAAATTATGAAAATATCGCGAAAAGGAAAATAAAATATCTCAAGTTAATTTCATTAAAAGATTATTTGAATACATTAAGAAGTAAAATTTTTTAAAATCTCTCATAAAAACTAAACATTTTATGCAAAAATGATAAGCGCTAACGGCAAGGTTTTAAGATTAATCTCATTAGGGCGCCCTAAAATATTGAAACTAAGCCAAATTGTAGTTATAAAACATCCTGATCAATATTCAATTAGTTCAGATCAATTTTCAAACAAAATTTTTTTGAAAACATTTAATTTCAGACCATAAAGCATATAGTCAAATCCATAAAGATTGCCAAGTACCACATTTAGAGGTGGTTTCATACATGGATGAATTTTTAATGCAAGAATACGACAACAAATTGTGTTTTTAAATCTAAATGAATTCAGAAAATATATTGGAAGTCCATTAATCGAAAAATATTAAGCTATAACCAACTTTCAAAGAAGTAGTATAACAGGAATGATTCAAGACGGGTCTTGACAAAAATGGTATGGCCTAATAAATTGTAGAATGGAATCGTAGACCAAAGGTTGTAGGTAAACATATTACCCCAAGATATGTTCTCATATTCCCAACAAACAAAGTTGATAAAATGGCGATGTAGTCTTATGAAAACATGATTGATTCCAAAATGGTGGAAGCACGTTCCATAGGAAGTAGGCAATGATATGGTTGTCGACTTACTGATTGTAAAACAAATCGTTAAAAAACCTTGCGTATAACGTCTTTTAAGGGTTTCCCAATAAATTACACCATATTTGTGGATAATCGTCCACGATATGCGTCATCAAGCTCCTCAAAGCCGTTGTCGGAAAGACATTAAGTTCCAAATTCTAAATAAAAACTTGACAAAAATAGCTGATGTTGTATTGCTACACACTAATTAATAATATTTTAGATGAAAGTCCTTTCTTTTTTGTTTTTATTTTAAAAATATTTGAACTTAAAACGAATACTCCTATTATTTTGAACAACAGATTTTGTATATAAATTTAAAAAAATATATATTTTTTTAAATAAATTTCTTAAATATTTAAAATAATGATTATAAAAATTAGAGAACAAGTTAAATAAATAAATTATAAAATTATTTAATTTAAAATCTAAACCTTT